AGAAGGACATTCCAGGAAGAGAGAGCAGCATGTGCCAGGACAGACAATCATGAAAAATACTGAATTCAAGCAGCCTGTGGAACAGAGAGGAAGTGGAGCAGTGGGGACAGCTTGGACTGGTATTAAATCATCGAGTACCCAGTATATCAGGCTGAGGTCCCCAAAAAGTAAAGATTTCTTCCTAAAGTCAATGGGAAGTCACTGAAAGATCTTCAGAAGTGCAATGAGAGGATCAGAGTCACATTTCCAAACGTAAATGAGATGGTTATGAGGCTGTCAGCAGAGAGCACAGTCAGAAGTGGTTACATTACAGTACATTGAAAGTTAAGACCGGGAACATGGGAGTAGAAAAGAATCTGGTGTGTGTGTGTGTGTGTGTGTGTGTGTGTGTGTGTGTGTGTGTGTAGACACTGGTATGTGTTAGGGCATGTACATGTGTGATGAGGACATGGGGAGAACACGGGGCTGAGAAAGATGAGGAGTTGTCTTCAACAGGGCAAATCCATCAGGAGCTCATGGACCCCCAAATATAACTGACTGGTTTAAGCTGAAGACCCACATTCTGGAGTGAGCCTCATAGAGGGGATTGAAGCCATGTAAGCAGAGGAGATTCACTCGGGAGAATCAATTAGAATGAGAAGAGAAGAAGGAAGATCACGGAAGCTCCCTGAGGAAGCGCAACATTTAAGAGATGGTCAGAGAAATTAGAACCACAAAGGAATTCACAATGGTCCTGAGACATAACAGACAAAGCAGGAGGAGGAAACCTCAAGCGAGGCAAAATCAAAGTCTATGATGATGAAATTAAGATACTGTTGAAATAAATGGGTTTGTTAGAATATCACAATAACTGTGCTAGTTGGGTGATTAGAAACCTTTTTGTTCTGAAGGGCTTTTCTTGGAATAAAGCACCAAAATTCTTACACTATGACTTCTTTCAGAATTTATACACATTCTCATATCCATTACCTTATCTGAGCCTCACAATAATCCTGGGAAGTAAATAAGGTAAATACCATTATCTGCATCTACTTTAATAGGAATTGACCTTTAAAATCACAAAAGCAAATAAGCTCCACGTGACGTGTTTAAAACCCTACCTTTTTAGCAGTAAAGTCTGTGTCAGCATTTGTCTCAGTTCACTGGGCCCCACATTTCTTAAATTGTGGAGGCAGCTGTGAGTACCAAGGTAGATGTTGTTTATTTTTCCACTCTGCGTCTGGCAGGTCAGCTCTCCGTCATATAACAGCAAAGGTTTATGAGAGAAGGGAATTTTGGTGCCACCAGCCAAAATGACGTTGGATCCTATATTACAAAACAGACATCTTAATCCTGAAAGCTAATACTCAGCACAAATAGCAGAAAAGAATATTTTAATTCCAATGCAATGGACATTTATCAACAAATATACGAAAGGGATTAAGTACCTTGTATAGTGCCCTTGTGAAAGACGTAAGTGTATACCTTATCATCATCATAAGCAACAAATACACCTTTATCCATGGGCCAGTTTTCCCAAAGAACACCTTTAATGTTTGGTGAAAAATCCGGAATCTCATAGGTGGCACCATTAACCTACAAAACAGGATTTACAGATTTGCCCCAAGTCTGTACATAGATCATTATCATTTGCCATGGTGGGAACCTGTTTATAGCCTTAGCTGGCATAGCTTATCACCCCATTTTCAACCCAACAATGCTCCAACCGTAACAGGAAGGAAAGTTTCTTTTCCCATTCCTATACTACATCTGGCTTGAAAAAAAAAACTGTAGTTATATGGCAAATCAAGGGTTTTATCTAAAATTTGGTAAATTTGCAGGAAAAACTATAAGCCTGAACACAGAGCTTCAGGTTGAGGGGAAAAAAAAAGCTAAAGCTGCTCAAGATGACAGAAATTTACAAGCTATGAACACTTGTGTTTAGAAAATTTTCAATAATACTGAGCATAAAAATGCACCAGCTAGAGAAGAAACAGAACTCAATTCATATATGATTTGAAATTTAAATAAATTCCACTGGGTATGTTTTATTTCAAAAACTTCTCTACAACGCATTCTAACAAACATAAAATGTACTGTTACAGTAATATACGCTATTAAAAACTCAATCCACATATTCCTGTGAACTCAGGCAGGTAGGCATACAGATATCCTGAACGTAGAGCTGAGAAATACCTGCTTTCTCCGTAATCTTTCTTCCTCTAAAAATAAGAACGAAATATAAAATTCCTGCAAATAACAACTAATACTGTAGAGCTGTGCTGTCCAGTACAATAGCCAGTATTTAATATCCACATGTGGCCATTGAGCATTGAAATGTGTCTAGCCCAAGTTAAGATGTGTGCAAGTATAAACTACACACTGGATCTCAAGGAGTTTAGAGTCAAAAAGAGTGTAAAATGTCTCACTAATAATTTTTTATATAGATCACATACTGAAATGATAATACTGGATTAAATTAAATATATTAAAATTAATTTCACCAGTTTCTTTTTACCTTTCTTAGAAAATGTGGCTAGTATAAAAAATAAAAAATTATATATGTGGTTCAAATTATATTCCTACTGGATAGTGCTGCTTACCAGGTATTGTACTAATTGCTTATATATATAACCTCATTTAATTCTAACCGCACACTCTACAAGACAGGTACTATTATTATGCCCATTTGCAGATGAAGAAACTGAGCCACAGAGAAATTTGCTCGAAGTCACACAGCTAGTAAGTTGAAGAGCCAGGGTTTGAACTCAGGCAGTCTGGCCCCACAGCCTGTGCTTCTAGCCACCATGTTATACTGACTCTCAGTTTGCAAGAATGACCACATCACTGCCAGNGAAATGTGATCTAGGGCACAGAAAGATGAAATAACTTGCCCAAGGTTACAGAGCTGGGACTTGAACCCAGACATCTATGACTCTGAGGCCACGTTCTTCATCATTATTCCACGTAGCCACTTCTCCATTCTTCCTTCCATTTGGCTAGATTGTTCTCTCTGTTCTAGCCCCTCCCCTGCAACGCTCACCTCTGGAGTGATGGTACACAGGTCCTTAGCTCACCTCTCAATACAAAAGAGAATTTCATCCAATAAACAAAAGATAAATGCGCCTCAGTTTTATCATTTGAAAAATAGAACAAGTAACAGCTCTCTCATAGGATTATCGTGAGGGTTAAATGAATTACAACATGTCAAGTGCTAAGAAAAGTACCGGGCACATGTCAGCACGCAATGAATGGAGGCTGTTTTTATTTGTATGCATTTTTATAAGTTATAAAATCTGTTCTCTTTGGACACATTTAGACTTTAAATTATTTGGTCATGTTACAATACCATGCCTTCGATGGCTCCAAAGGATGCAGAACTGAAAATACTTTTGAAGTTAATGAGTACTCAGGGGTTTTGAGAGCTGAAGTCTAAATTCTAGGATGAGGAAGGCATGCGGTGTGAAGAAATCTTAACTGTTTAAGAGCTGAAACCCTCCCCTCCATGTCCTTCCCCTCATCATTTGCTGCCATACCTCCAGGGCAGCAACAGGACAGCTGGATGCAAGGTACAGGTCTTCAGCCAGGCTGAAATCATTAGTAAACATGGCAAGGTGTCCTGCCAAAAGATTGTATTCCTCTATTCCCTACAAACAAAAGCAGTTTGAATGAGAAGAAATGCAAGGCTTTAAGTTTTTGAAAAGACTTTGCTTAGTAGGAAGTGGTAATGTTCTATCAATTAACTTGTTTATGAATTAGGCAACAAAGATTTACTGGAGACATTTAAAATGTTTGAATAAATACCATTTAAATCCTAATTCTCATAAGATGCTGTTTACCTTTATTCCTTCCAAGGACATCACCATGCCAGCATTTCCAATTTTACGATACACACGGATTGCAAACTCCACTTCCATGTGATGTAGACAAGCTCTGGCCAACTCGTTCCAGGCCGCCTGATCGTTAAGAATCCTGCATATTTCCCAGCCATCAGAAAACCTAGGATATGAGTATAGCAGCTTAATCTGGGAGCTCTGCTTGCCCACAGAAGGCAATTTTCAGATTATATGTAATTTAATGCTATGCCCTAGACAAATTTTGCAAAATATTTCTAGTCTATAATCATCACTTCCAATTTATAAAAAACTACATAAACTTGTCTTCCTTTTT